CATAGTGCGGATATCGAAGGGTAGATATGCGGGAATGGCGAGAATTTACCTTGACAATATCAGCTCCAGAAAGAATCAGCTCTTCGACCATTTCACCAGTCACTACATTTCCTGCCATGATGGTGTGCCTGAATGAAGAGGGTATTGTTCTACGACTGCGCTCTTACTTTGCGTCAGCGTTTTGAGCGTAGGGCAGCATGTTCAGCGGCCGCCCGTTAAAAGTTCAAACATACCTGCGGAACGCTCAAAACGCTAGATCGATGTCTATAGCCTCCTAGCAGCTCAAAACGCCGCTGCACGCTCAAAACGCAGACGCGAAGAATGAATGCACACTAATCATTGGAGCACGACGAAAAGAAATCAAGGAAGTACCCAGGGAACTGCTCTCGAACTTTTCGAATAAAGTCAATAAAGTATTCAGAGTAACCGTTGGCAACATCAATACAGATATATTCCAGAGCCGGTACTTCGTTACAAATTTCGCTCAACTGAAAATGGAGGCAACTGAAAAAATTCACATAAATGACACAACAATAACAAATGCAACATGCAAGCAAATGGCTGATTACAATAAGGAAACAGCTATGCCTCATACAAGCTCTGGCAAAAAGGGATAATAAGGATTAAGGTTAAAGTCGAACGATTCGACAGCGCGATGCAAACGCTCGAGCGATCCAACCGTGCTACACAAGTGATCGGATCGCGATATATGAACGCACGCGCAGAGCATGGAGTACGACATGTCGCCGAGTACTAAGTAATCCAAACGGCTATAAGGACATTTCTGACACCTTCTGGTTGCGCTTATATGTGTGTAATCAACAAATAAAAGAAAAGAAACAAAATATGAAAAAGACGAAATGGAAAATGTGCGACGATAGAAGGAGATAAATGAGCAGAAGCAGAAATTAGCAGGAAGCAGAAACTTCGGTGCTGTTCACCCTTTACTGCCCCAGTTTTCGAAGTTCGGTTCAGAATTTTGCTTTGACTGGGAATAGGCCTTCAGAGGTAAATAAATACCTCGAGCACGAATATAACACCCTTGGCACAAAACCGCCTTGAGTTCGGGCTGCACGAGTCAAGGTCAAAATAACTATGTAGTGCCTTCGTCTAAATCGCCCATACCACTGCTTTCCTACCTATATGACGGTACAATTTATCGACCGGGTAATATCAACCTCTCTGTCAGAATAGAACGTACCTTTTCAAAATCACGATCAGATATTCCTGAAGAAACAGCAACGTGGCTGAACATCGGCGTCTCTTTGAATCCAGCATAGAACTCTTTCCATTCATCCAACTGAATTTCGTACATCAAAAGTAGTGACCATGAAGCTTAGCTCATCTCTACCGTAACCCTAGGGAACCTCTTCTATCACGGATCGCGATATCTTCAATCGTTTGTGCTCTCCACCTCATCTGTGCGGATACTACATCCTTTCCTCAAGCCTATAAAGATAGATGACCGTCGCAACGGCTCAGTCAGCCGTTTGCCCCCTGCGATTACCTTACCGCCCAATG